GGAGGAGGAGGAGGAGGAGGAGGACGAGGAGGACGAGGAGGAGGAGGAGGAGGAGGACGAGGACGAGGACGAGGACGAGGACGAGGAGGAGGGCAACGGCTACATTTCATTGCCAGCTTCAGAGAACTATCTTACTTATGCAGCCATAAATTTATCCTAGCTGGCTTCCGTGTAACAAGTGCATACATACGGTAAGTACATGTATACACTTTCCAATCCGGTTTCCTGGCCCCACCCATTCATAAGTGTTCTTCCTATTTGAAACACTGGTCGCTTTGTCAAGGTGAAGAGAGGCACACTGACTCCATAACTAACATCGGAAGGGGGGGGGGGGTAAGACTGAAGGACACTTTCAAGAAATATATTCGCTACTACTACTACACAGTGAGACTCCCCAATCGCCAGTGTGCGAATCGCAACAACAGAAAATGCAGCCCTGCAAATGGAGAGAGAGAAGAGGTAAAGCTTTCATCTGGAAGTCTCGTTTCGTCCAGCGAAAAGAGAACAATGAATATAAGAAATACCTAACGATAAAGTGAGTGGCACCCTTCCATGTGACCCATTTGTGCTGATTTGTTGGTTCGAATCCCAGCACCGTCGGATACAGCATTGTTTCCTTGGGTACGGAACTCTAGCCTATATTTTCCCTCAGTTCATCTAGCTACAGGAGCGCTCCGTTTGCTAAAATTGGTATCATGCTTGACAATGGAACGGAGAACCCTGCTTCGAATCCAGCTGGACTGGGGGCTCGTGAACCGGTTTATTTTTTGTGGAGTTTGCAAGGCTCTCAACTAATTTGGCGCGGTCTTATCGGAAATGTGTGTTAAATTCTGGGGTTCCACCTCTTCAATAACCCAAATGAAAGTGGCATTAAACCCCTACACGTACTCACATATGCGCTGACTTGGAATGTACTCGTTTACCAGCTGCAGTTAAGGGGTTATTGCACTTGGCAGTCGACAGAGATGGCATAATAACGGCATGACCTTATTATCTATTACAGGTTTTGGCTCTCTGTGTCCCCGGCAGACTGAAATGGTAATTTTGAAAGAGTAAACTGGCTTCGTGGCTTATATTAAATTATGTAATCCTTCTGGGCGACACGCAACCATAGACACTAAACTATGTTGGACGAAACTCATACTGTAAACAGCAAGCTGCCAGACCTCCTAAAGATCCCCCCCCCCCCACCTATCCGTTGCAGTAATCACCCTGTTTGTTAATTAAAATTAACCAAGGAACTTAGAATATTTATAACCCCCTTGGAGTTAACTCTGCTGTAGGCCAAGGACTCAATGTCGCTGATGGCATGTGGTACATGGTAAGCGCTTAGGAGATCCACAGACAAGAGTACAGCGCCGCTGCAGTCATAATTTATCATACACACGAACTATGCGTTCTTCTGTATGTCACCAACTGTCACTATCTAGAAACCACATTATTATATCTCAACATTCCTATATTCTGACTTCCAGTATAGTGTTCCCTATGCTAGTAAAAAAAACCCACATAAATACCCTGTATTTTGTGGGGGGGGGGGGTTCTTTTGAGTGTGGTACAGCCGTCACCTTGCTCGTTTATGTTGAAATATTTCACGAATATAGTTTAATTCATTTTACAGACAATAATTTTGTTTTACGTCCGCATAATATGCGTATACTGTGACTGATAAATGGAGAAGTTCTCACGCATCGGAATAATGTATACGCTATGAAGAAAGTGGAAGATAATTGTTCTAAGTCCACAAAACAAAATTTTCTTGGACAGAGAAACAACTGTTTCATTATTATACCAGCTGCACCTGCATTGTGTATATAAAGATCTTTCTTTTTCCAGCATTTAGAATTTGAATTTCGAGAAAATACAACCGATACCACTGATACAAAAATATTCTAAAAATGTTGGGCTTAGTTCACCTGAACAGCTGACCGACAACTACGTTGCTTAAAAAAAAAAAAACAACCACCAGTTTAAAAAACAACAACAACCAAACAACGACCAAACAACAACAGTTGCGTTGGTAATGAAGATGTTCATACAATCGCATAAATACAGATACCCCCCCCCCCTCCATTTTAATCTCTCTCTCCCTCTCTTTCTCTGTCTGTCTCTCTTTCTCTCTGTCTGTCTCTCTGTCTGTCTCTCTGTCTCTGTCTGTCTGTCTGTCTGTCTGTCTGTCTGTCTGTCTGTCTGTCTGTGTGCCTCCCCCCCCCCCTCTCTCTCTCTCTCTCTCTCTCTCTCTCTCTCTCTTCTTTCTTTCTTCCTTTCCTCCTTTTTCAGGGGGGGGGTCTTTTTTGGGGGGTTTTTTCGTTTCTTTTAGGGGGGAATGGGCGTTTTACACCCCAGTCGAAGCTGTTACATGTATAACCCCGCCTACCAGAACCAGCCCTGATGGGACACACCTGGACACACCTAGGAACGTTAATTTAACCCTATCCGTACGTCGTGTTGTACTATCGCATCCATTCGACGTGGGGACCTCTGTGCCACCACTTTCCAAAAAGGAAATTTACTCGTTAATCTGATCCGTACGCTGTACATAGCAGTCTGTCAAAAAGGGTTTTTCTAAAAACAAATACTGAAAGTTTCAAAGAGATCTTCGCACTAGAAGTATTCTACAAATGTGAAGAATACAACCCTGGGGGTACAAAATGACCCCAGGGCGTACGGATAGGGTTAAATCGTGACAGTCGTAAAAATACAAGATGTAGAATCTTTCAATCTATGTCTTTTGCTGGAGAGGGATGACTTTGCGAGCGTGGCGAAGAGTTGAACTGTTACACTTTCTGACAAAGAGATGCAGCAAAGAACGGATTGGCAGATAAACACACAGATAGATAGATAGATAGATAGATAGATAGATAGATAGATAGATAGATGTGTCTGATCAGAATTCTCGTCTCGTTTCTGCGTTAGATTCACTGATAACAGCAGTCTGGCGAAGGGAAACAGTTTCGAATATAATATTAATATATGTTTTGGAGAGACGCAAATATTTCTTACTTTTGGCCTGTGAACGCAGGTTTAATTTTATAGAGAAACAATTCACTTTACAAAATCAAGCTTAGGTCAAAGGAAAGAGATAATACAACCCCTTTGGGTCAAACGAGAGAGTTTTAGTCTTACAGTGCATGTACATGTATTATTACCATTGTTAACTCCCTGATCAAACCAAACTCGCAATTTGCGAATGAACACATTGCGGGAATTCCCACAGAGGCCTCACCGTTCTCTTTTGCAGAGCATTGCTCGTAGGGACCTGCAATTTGTGTGCGAAAATAGGATAACTTTGCAAACAATCTATAGGATTATGGACTACTGTCGCTATTGGTGGCGCAGTTATTCTATATTTATCCTCCCACGCTATTCTATTTTTGGAGTCACAATGGCGCCATCGCAACGCCTTTCTCTACTTGTAAGGAGGGAATTTCTACACGTCAGTGTTAAAGTATTTCGTCACGGGCTTGTTAGATTTAATGCTGGGAGGTCGTTGCTTTTATTCCGTCATTTCTCTCCTCCTGTGTATAGCCAAAGAACTACATTTGAATTTCCTGCTCTCAAGAGGACACGGAAGAGACGATAGACGGTTTACTTTTTTCGTCTCCTGCGAAACACACCCACTTCATCTGTCAGATCTAGCCTAAGTGAGGATTGAATAAAATCTAGGCTAGCTTCAGTGCCTGAAGTCAAGACTTATAACGTGTTTTGAGCACAAAGTGTACAGCTATGCCAGTGTAGAGATCTAGTTATATCTGCCTTGGAACTTGGAGTACTTTCTTGTTTTTAAAAAAATTGGGGCAGCTGCACTTATCCTTGTAAAAGAAAAAAAAAACAGGGAAAAACGAAAGACAGAAATCTAGGCCTACTCCACATTGAGATGACTAGGCTGTCTTTGTTCAAAAGAATCCCCAAGTCTTCACTAAAATTGCTCCTGTACAGCTAGCCTACATCAATACTCTCACGGTAAGAAAGTCTGTCTCATTATATTGTATCACACATAATACATTAATATGGATGGTTGCCGAGTGTTGTGCTGTGGTTTGCTCTTTAACTTCTCGTGTCAAACTTTTATTTTTATCGTCCTCTCTCTCCTCCTTCTTACTTTGAATGTGTGTTGTTACTCTCTAGTAGTACCCCATAATGTCCGCTACACACACATATAACAATATATATATATATTTTATATATATATATATATATATATATATATATATATATATATATATATATATATACTATATGTATATATATATATATACCCTAAAAACTCGTACTAAAACTAAACTAAGCACAGAACAGTGAGGGTTTCATTCGAAACCCATACATTTTTCTCAGCCATGTCTGAAACGTGAAGTGCAATGATGAATCTGTCTGAGTACTTACTGCGAGTGGGTTAAAAATGAAATGTATTGAGCAGTGGGCGTCGAATGGTGGTTGTGATGCTCTTCTAAAAAAATTGAATTGAAATGTGTTTCTGTTTACTACAAGACTCCTACGTACCAATGTTCCTGTATTCTTTTTCAGCATCAAATGAGCAGGTTGGTCATATTGAGAGGGAGATTTGGGTGTTCGTGATTTGTTGGTATTTTGTTGTTTGTTTGTTTTGTGTTTTGTTTTGTTTTGTTGTTGTTGGTTTTTGTATAATGTGTACATCAGGCCACACACACTTAAAGTTAAACAACAAAAGATTTGTTTCATGATATCCCATAGGTTAGGATCATGATAGCGTGTTATCATTGCAAGCGTCCCATAATGTATTCATTTAACTGACAGTGTGCCCACCAATTAATTTCTAGTAAGTACGATCAATCCCTTGTCATTATCACAGCACTGTGATCACAAAAAAGGTCACAATGTATGTACATGTTTTACTAGATTAGAATTAAACACCCTCTGCATTCCATCCAACCTCGACTTCAGTTGTTGTCTTATCGGGCGGGATGTTTTATTTTTTACATCACATACGGTGGAAGAAAAATCCAGCGTTCTAACACCTGGTCCTGCTGCTGTTCCACTTTATGTGAATTCACAGAGGTGAGTGGTTGGTGGGTACTCTGGTGTGGTTTGTTCCGTCTTTCCTATCAAAGATCTAGTAACCTTATCTCTCGTCCTTTTTTTTGTGCGAGTATTTGGTACTCACTTGTAACACCTTTAATTCTTGCCTTATCTTCGGCACTTATATATGATTAAAAACCTTTTTTTAAAAAAAACAGAGGCATTCACTACGTCCTACTGATTATAACGTCAGTTCATTCAATCCCTTTCATAGTCATAGTTCAGTATTGGATCCTGTTGTTAGTCTAAGAAGTGGCTTTGTCCCAGGGATGTGTGTGAGATTTGAGTGAAATCATGTGTTACGTGAGAGACAGTGGGGATCAACACAGCAGCTGTGCCACCAGATAATTGCGACAGGGCGCTGGGGAAAGAAGAGCAGGAGGTTGAGAAAGACACACGTACGTGATTGGAGTGGGTAGGGGTTGGAGAGCAGGGATCCTGAGTGCGTGTATGTGTGAGTGCGTATGTGTATGTATGTATGTGTGTGTGTGTGTGTGCGTGCGCCAGCGCATGTGTGTTTGCCTTCGTGATCTGTGTGTAATACAATGTGTAGACCTATCTATACGAGTTTATATTGTGTGTATGTGCTCTTGCATGCATAACGTGTGTTTTTGTGGGCGTTGAATGGTGGTTGAGATGCTCTAAAAAAATAAGAATTGAAATGCGTTTCTGTTTGCTAGAGAAGACACTAGGCACATGCATGAGAGAAAAGAGAGATAGAGAGAGGGGGGGAGAGAAAGAGAGATTGAGAGAGAGAGAGAGAGAGAGAGAGAGAGAGAGAGAGAGAGAGAGAGAGAGAGGGCGTAAACGGGGAGGGGGGGATATTGGAGGCCATGGTGTGCATTTAATAACAGTAGAGATAGAAAGCGTGATATGCTCAGTGCCAAGCTACAATTGAACTTGGCTTACTTCTCCGGCACTCTACTTCACAATGAACACACACACATACACACACAAACACTCACACATACAAACACGCACATTCGCATGTACACTCTCTCTGTCACAATGCATGTGTACAGTACTTTAATTATATGTTATATCTGTTTCAGAACTGGACCAAGCGCGCGACATGTGCGCCAGGTGCGTCTTCTACACTCTATCGTGACATCAACACAAGTTACCACGTCATCGATCTTATCTCCGCGGAGCTGGCTGTCTGCTAGCTATATAAGCCTCTGTTACGATGGCACAAGGCAACGGTGTCATTCTTTACTCGGGCGATCTCCAAAACCCAACGTTCAAGGACGCCTCTCTACCCAGGCACCGGCATCCCCGCTCATTTCACAAAGACGGTTCTAAACGCCGGTTTATCATGGCAGCCTGTTTTATTGTTTCACTTCTGCTTATAACTGCAGTGATTGTTGGACCTACTTTAGCTTTTCTCACTTCTGGCAGCAGTAACAGACCTCTCAAAGTGGCAGCATTCAATATTCAGCATTTCGGCCGTTCCAAGATGTCTGACACCACGGTAGCCAATCACATTACGGAGATCTTGGTGCGCTATGATGTCATTCTCATTCAGGAAGTACGCGACTCCACCGGAAGTTCGCTGAAAGATCTGTGGTCACGTCTCAACAAGACGGACGATTGGGGTTTCGTGGCAAGTGCTCCAATCGGCCGCACCACATACAAGGAGCAGTATGTGTTTTACTACAGGCTGAAACTCGCGCACTTATTGAGTACATATCAGACCCCGGACTCGAGTGACGTATACGAGAGAGAGCCGTTTTCTGTGGAGTTTGAGTACTTTTCTGTTACTCCGGGAACGAAGAAGCAGGTGGTGCTCATGGCTCTACACTCTCGCCCTACCGACGCTTTTGACGAACTCGACCACCTCCCAACCTCCATCAAGTCAGCTGCTAGCCACTTTAAGGGCGCAGGCGGTGTGGTTGCCATGGGAGACTTCAACGCCGATTGCAATTATGTTTCTTCCACCAAGCAGTTGCAGCTAGAAATCTTCAAAGACAACTCAGAATTCACCAGTCTTATCCCTGACTCGGCGGACACTACATCTGGTGACAGCAACTGTGCATATGACAGAATCATCGTCTTCGGACATGACATCAGAGCACGCGACGCTAAAGTATATAACTACCAAAAAGCAATGGGCCTCAGTGACGACGCAACAGGGGATATCAGCGATCACTATCCAGTGGAATTTCAGCTACATTAGATCTGTGATCTGTAGTGATTTCGTCTTTGCAGTCCATAATCATAAGATCAAGAAGAAAGGACACTGTGCCGGGACAGCTAATTTGCAGAAGACTGAACATTCCTTACAGGCTGGCCAGGGTTTTGTTATCATTGTTCATTGGCATTGTTTATTTATGGTTATAATGTGGGCATTATTTTCTATGCAAAGGTGTACACTGTGAAAATAAATGCTCGCTGGGCTTTCATTATTATTCACAGCAGTACTGTAGTGAGCTGTTGGATTTTTTCCCGATCTTATGTATGCTTGCAGCCTATTTTGAAAGACTTGGCATTCTTATTCTGATATGGTAGATCTAAATTGTATTTCCTGGTGAATCAAGAACAAATATGAGATCTGGTCTAGTGTTTTACGGTTTTCTAACACAGAGGCTTGATGATTCCAGGTCGGAGACAATGTGGGATATACACTTTGTCGATGCTTGTTTATTTGTCTGTTTGAGTAAAGAGACGCACATCGACACAATAATGCCCATTCAGTGCAAGGTAAAAAAAGACGGATAGAAAGAAACAACACGGGGAAAGTAAAGAAGTTGAAACATCACTGTTCCTACATGTACTGCCACTGATACCACAGTCTCCTACTGCCACTGACACACCACTGTCACCGGCAGCCACTGACACACCCCTTCCTCCCACTGCCACTGACACCACTGTCTCCTACTGCCACTGAGTACATTACACCACTGACACATCACTGTTCCTACTGCCACTGACACACCCCTTTCTCCTACTGACATAACACTGTCTCCTATCTGTTTTTGTTTTTGTATAGTGTTTTACGGCGCTCGCAACTGCATAAGGTCATATGAGCGCGCGGGACACACCTAATATTTTCAGTTGGTAGGAAATTTTGAATTTTGCTCGGGTGGCGGCCGAAGCCTACTCTTATCGATTTTAGACCACCAAGGGATCTTTAACGTGCGCAACTTGCACACGAGCCCTCCGAGATTTTTTCGCCCTTGTCCGAGAAAGCTAGGTGTAGATCTTTCCTACCAGAAGATCAGGGATGTAGCTGAAAGACAGCAGTAAGAAGAAGTGAAGGAGTTGCAGTAGAAAGGCTGCAGAAAGAATCAGGAGCCCAGAGGAAGGGGCAAAGGAGGTGAGGGGGTGGGGACAGAAAGAGGAGACGAAAGCTGACGACAGAACATTGCTAAAGAGCAGGAGATGAAGTGAAAGGAGACAAATTTAGAGAAGAAATTTGTCTGTCGCTACCCGGATTCGAACCCGGGACCTTTTGAATGAGAGGCCAACACCTTAACCTCTAGGCCACGAAAGCCCCCACTGTCTCTTATGACATACCACTGTCTGGCACTAAGACATCCCTTCCTCCCACTGCCACTGCCACACCAGTCTCCTACTGGCACTGACACACCCCTTCCTCCCACTGCCACAGACACACCCCTTCCTCCCACTGCCACAGACATACCCCTTCCTCCCACTGCCACACCAGTATCCTACTGGCACTGCCACACCCCTTCCTCCCACTGCCACAGACACACCCCTTCCTCCCACTGCCACACCAGTATCCTACTGGGACTGACACACCCCTTCCTCCCACTGCTACACCAGTATCCTACGGCCACAGACACACCCCTTACTCCCACTGCCACAGACACACCCCTTCCTCCCACTGCCACTGACACACCCCTTCCTCCCACTGCCACAGACACACCCCTTCCTCCCACTGCCACACCAGTATCCTACTGCCACAGACACACCCCTTCCTCCCACTGCCACTGACACATCTATTTTTCTTACTGGCACTAAAACACACC